GAACACTCCAATTTAATTATTTTAAACATCACAGATTTTAAGAGACAATATTTTGTTGCCTTGTGATATTCCTTCCAATAATAGATACAAAAATTCGGATCACTTGGTTAAATATGGACAGCCCAAAATGCTTACCGCCCGGTTGTAGTAATGCAAATAATGGCAGCAGCCTTACAACGCTGAGCTGCCTCGACGGCAGCGATAGCAGTTGTGTGTGTCATATCAGTAGGCTCTGAGAGCGAAACCTTGAGGTCCTCAAATAGCCGATCGAGATACATCGCAGACTCAGCTTCGCGACATATTGAATGCATAGTGCGTACAGAGTCGAGAGGATAGAGGCCTTTAGCAGTCTCGCCTATAGCCATGTGTGGGAGATTGAGGTAAAAGTATTCATGCAAATATATCAAAGAGAGATAAAGTCGCACCAAAATTACAAGTAAGACAAATATTTATATGGTATTATGCATCTATAGGTTAAATACAATTTCTTCGGATACGTTAACCTTTATCCCATTACCATCTTCCAGATTTAAAATAACATAAAAAGGGGAAGACAGCAAAAATACTTTTGAAATTATTGGGTCAACCAGTAGGTCGTGGATAGTGTTCATAGATATAATGAATAATAAATTGAGGATTATCATGTATCGACTGCGAATTAACAGCAGAGAAAACTTTACATCTATAGGGTATATATATTCTGGATCCAATCAACAATTTAATTAAAATAAAACTTAATTGTTAAGTGTATAGATCCTAATACACATGCCATCCAAGAGAGATGGCTAAATTTTCCAAATAGTAGACTCGAAAACCTACTTATAAACGAAAATCGTTCATGGCTTTCTTGGAATAAAAAATGATTCGAACCATCTTTACTGTAAAGCTAAAATGTTTAATAGAAAAAATTAAGGATTGTTTTTAGGTTTTAAGATGAATCTTCTGGAAGAGTATTTCTTATGCACTGCTCAGCGTCTAGTGGGTTTTGCGAAAGTTCTGTGCGTCTAATGTCATATAACAGATTTCATTGAGAAACAAGCTTAAAAAAAGGAAGAAACAACTTATATATATTTGGTGGTGACTTTAGTAAAAATAAATAAAGTAGAGTGGAAAATAATGGCAAGTTTAAAGTTGTAATTATGAACAAGTTAATAAAGAGTATCTATATAAATAAACGAATAGAAATTCAATAAATAAACATAACAAAAGGTATTGTTAAGAATAGATGAAAAATTAAACCCAGGAAAGCAAGAAAGAATAGATAAAATTACATATTGTCAAATGTTAGCATTGCTAACAAGCTTGATTCGTGAGCAGACCAAATAAAAAATGTAAGCAAATAAATTTGCGCAAGTGTGAACGCTATAACACAAAGATAGATCAGATTAATTGAACCGCCTCCGTAGTTTATGTCTCTCAAATAGCCCTTCTTATCAAGCACAAGTGACTCTTCTCATATCTCGCATATAACAGAAGATAAATCAAATCAGCAAATCGGATTGTTTGAAACAAATCGATATCATATCCTATATCCACTAGGTTCTTTGCAACCTCTAAAGACATTTTATCTCAGGCTATCCTGTAATTTTTTAACAAAAAGAGAAGCATGGAAGACAGCGTTCTGTAAAAGAATGATATAGAAAATGCATAATATAGATTCAGATAAACGTCTTAATGTCGAGTTGAAAAAGATGTCCAGCTCCCAATTTGTGGAAAATATAGATACATTTTAGAAAGTTTGAATAAGATAGCAAAGATATATGAAAATATGAATCTTTCTATTCTGACCCAAATAATCAATATTCAACACTGTACTTTTTAGGTAGCCAAAGCATTTATAAACAAAACCCAAAAAGGTAATTACTTCAGATTAATGGATTTCCGAGTTTGCTCATACCTATGGCCAAATCATAATATTTGCTTCTTTACTATTTTAAGTTATCCCCAATTTCAA